GATGGTTGGTGATGTGCTGCAGATGTGCAGTAAGGTTTCGGAATTTTCATTTTCACCCTGGGGGTCAAATGGGGGTCGAAAATGACGTTTTTTATGCAAAAAGCCCCTGGTTCCCAGAACTCCTCTTACATTTTACACAGTAGCCTAATCATCTTTTGGGAGATTGTTGGTGGTGTCATGTAGATGTGCAGTAAGGTTTGGGAATTTTCATTTTCACCCTGGGGGTCAAATGGGGGTCGAAAAATGACGTTTTTTATGCAAAAAGCCCCTGGTTCCCTGAACTCCTCTTGCATTTTACACAGTAGCCTAATCGTCTTTTGGGAGATGGTTAGTGGTGTCCTGTAGATGTGCAGTAAGGTTTGGGAATTTTCATTTTCACCCTGGGGGTCAAATGGGGGTCGAAAAATGACGTTTTTTTATGCAAAAAGCCCCTGGTTCCTTGAACTCCTCTTACATTTTACACAGTAGCCTAATCATCTTTTGGGAGATTGTTGGTGGTGTCATGTAGATGTGCAGTAAGGTTTCGGAATTTTCATTTTCACTCTGGGGGTCAAATGGGGGTCGAAAATGACGTTTTTTATGCAAAAAGCCCCTGGTTCCCTGAACTCCTCTTACATTTTACACAGTAGCCTAATCATCTTTTGGGAGATTGTTGGTGGTGTCATGTAGATGTGCAGTAAGGTTTCGGAATTTTCATTTTCACCCTGGGGGTCAAATGGGGGTCGAAAAATGACGTTTTTTATGCAAAAAGCCCCTGGTTCCCTGAACTCCTCTTACATTTTACACAGTAGCCTAATCATCTTTTGGGAGATGGTTAGTGGTGTCCTGTAGATGTGCAGTAAGGTTTCGGAATTTTCATTTTCACCCTGGGGGTCAAATGGGGGTCGAAAAATGACGTTTTTTATGCAAAAAGCCCCTGGTTCCCTGAACTCCTCTTACATTTTACACATTAGCCTAATCATCTTTTGGGGGATGGTTAGTGGTGTCCTGCAGATGTGCAGTAAGGTTTCGGAATTTTCATTTTCACCCTGGGGGTCAAATGGGGGTCGAAAAATGACGTTTTTTATGCAAAAAGCCCCTGGTTCCCAGAACTCCTCTTACATTTTACACAGTAGCCTAATCATCTTTTGGGAGATGGTTGGTTGTGTCATGTAGATGTGCAGTAAGGTTTCGGAATTTTCATTTTCACCCTGGGGGTCAAATGGGGGTCGAAAAATGACGTTTTTTATGCAAAAAGCCCCTGGTTCCCTGAACTCCTCTTACATTTTACACAGTAGCCTAATCGTCTTTTGGGAGATGGTTGGTTGTGTCATGTAGATGTGCAGTAAGGTTTCGGAATTTTCATTTTCACGATGGGGTCAAATAGGGGTCGAAAAATAACGTTTTTTATGCAAAAAGCCCCTGGTTCCTTGAACTCCTCTTACATTTTACACAGTAGCCTAATCATCTTTTGGGAGATAATTGGTAGTGTCCTATAGATGTGCAGTAAGGTTTCAGAATTCTTATTTTCCCCCCTGGGGGTCAAATAGGGGTCAAATTTTTTTAAAAAAATATTTAACATGTTTAGACATCCTGGTTCCCAGAACTTCCCTTATATTTCATGCACTAGCCTTATGATCATTTGGAAGATGATTTATTTTGTCCTGTGGATGTGTTAAATGGTTTTAAAATTTGCATTTCCATGTGGATAGCAAATTGGGGCAGGAAAAAAATGGTCCCTCCCTAACCCATGGGGTCATGATTTGTACAAACTTGAATCTACACTTCTTAGGAATGTTTCCATATTAATCATGCTTTGTTGTTCTTAAAAAGAAGAATTTTGAAGATTTTTTTTCCTTTTAAATCTCTATAAAACTTTGATCCCTTATTGTGGCCTGACCCTATCCTCGGAGGTCATGATTTGAAAACTAGAAATATGTCCATAGGACATAAATGCCCCGCCGAATGTATATTACTAATGCAACATGAAAATTTGTATGAGTGTATGAAGTTTGATGAGAATATCTTGAACAGTTTCTTTAAAATTGAAACTAAAATCTAAAAAAAAAAATGAATATAGATGATAAATTCTCACAAAATTATGTATAAGTGCATGCTTACATAAAAATATCTTAAATTGTTTCTTTAAAACTAAGCAAATACAAATTAAAGAGAAGGGAGGTCAAGGTCACAGGAAAGTGCAAGGTGAAAAGTTTTTGATGCAGTTGAATAGCTCTCACTAATACATATCAGCATATTAGGTTTGATAAAAATATCTTGAATGATTTATTTAAAACTGAACTTAACACTTATTTGAGAAAAGAGAGGTCAAGGTCAAAGGAAAGGTTGAGGTCAAAATGCTGATGCAGTTGAAAAGCTTATATCAGTATGTATTTACTATTAGCATAGAAGTTCAATAAAAATATCAGAAATGGTTTATTTAAAACGTAGATAAACACTTATTTTAAAAAAGTGAGGTCAAGGTCAAAGGAAAAGTCAAGGTCAAAAAAGTTGATGCAATTGATATCTCTCAGCAGTATATATTAGCATATGAAGTTTGATAAATATATCTTGAATTGTTTATTCAAAACTGATCTAGACACTAATTTAAGAAAAGTAAGGTCAAGGTCAAAGGAAAAGTCAAGGTCAAAAATTTTGATGCAGTTGAAAAGCTTACATCAGTATGTATCAGCATATGACGTTTTATTGAAGTCGGACATGACAAACACTATATGCCTCGGCCATATTCATGGCAGGGCATAAAAAACTTGAATCTACACTATATGAGGATGTTTCCATATCAAAATGACTAACAAGCAAATTCAAAGAATTGTGGTCCCCTGCTTTCCGTGTCCTAGTGGATGGGATGCCATTATTTATGACATATTGTTTCAAATACGCAGGCCTTATCATATGTCATTCAAAATTAATCACCAAAGTTAAAATTTTTGAAAATTAGGTAAAAAACATCAAGGTCAAGGGGTAAAAAAATCATAGCATGCTTGGAAACATCTTGTTACAGGTAATGTACATGTCAAATATAAAAGTCCTATCTCTTCTCAATCAAAAGTTATAAGGAAATATAACATTTTTGAAAAGTAGGTTAAACTTCAAGGTCAATGTCACAGAGTCAAAAGTCATGATATATTTAGAAAGGTCTTGTCACAGGTAATATACATGTATAATATGAACGCCCTATCTTTTCTCTTTCAAAATGATCATTTAAAATAATGTTAAATGTTTTGAAAAGTAGGTCAAACTGCAAGGTCAAGGTCATGGGTTCAAAAATCATGGTATGTTTAGAAAGTTCTTGTAGGTAATGTACATGTGAAATATGAAAGCCCTATCTCTTATTATTCAGAAGTTATGACCAAGGTTAAATTTATTGTGACAGACGGACAGACTGACAAACGGACAGACTGACAGACAAATGAGATTTAATGTCCCCTAGGTCCCTTTTGTGAAAATGGACGACAATAATGCCCTTGCTGTTCATAAGAAGAAGATTTATGATGGAAAAAAAACCCTGCATTTTTCTATGTAAATCATTGGATCCCCATATGTGGCCCCACCCTACCCCAGTGGGTCATAATTTTAACAAATTTGAAGCTACACTGTCTATGTAAAGAAAGTTTCAACTTTCTGGGCCCAGTCAGTGGTTCTTGATAAGACTTTTTTAAAATGAAACCACCAAATTTTCACTAATTCTTGATTATCCCCCCTTGAAAGAGGGTATGACCCTTCACTTGAACAAACCCCCCTCCCCCGGAAAAAAATTCCCGGATCTGTGCCTGTAACTGAATGTAATGTCGACAACGGGAGATAACTGTTCAGAATGTGAGATTCGTCTATTGTGGCATCCGATGATCCACTATCGGCTCATACATTCAGTGTTTGAGAGAGAAACGAACGACAACTCTGCATAGGAGATTGCTGATGATCTTTGATCCTTTTTAAACTTTAACCTAACCATTTGCATTTCGGTTTATTTTACCCCAATCTATACTTAAAATTGTACTTACCGACTGTCATAGGTCCTGTCAACTTCATGAAATATAATCCAATTAAAACACAAATATGAATTAATTTCCACTAATATACATGTAACACTGCACCATGTCACATGGCATGTGCAATCTAAAAATGATAATGGTAAAACTAGTACTAGTACTGGTAGGGTGACGCAAGCCCAATGTGATGTAGAAATTTTCAAAAAGGTGTTCACATACATGTACAGTACAAGAACAAATTTTAAATTATCATAACAAACGCTGTTTTAACATAATTTTGCCATCTAGGCCTATTTCCAAAAACAGGCAAATTGTGTGTGTGTGTGTTGGGGGGGGGGGGACAAAATTGCTTGGGTATGGCTTTTAAAGGAGGTTTTTGCCTAATCAAATACTAAAATAATTTTGCACATTTTGATAAATTCATCAAAAACGCTTTGTACAAAAATAATATTATTTGTTGTTGAGAAAATAAATTTAAAAAGTTCCAATTATGGGCCAAAAATTTATATCCCCCCCCCCTTTTATCAAAACCTAATTTACATTATTAATTAAATTCTGTTATTTCAGACTGGTAATGAATTAAGTATATGAAATGCGTATACGAGGTTCATGGGTCACATGGTCACCTGAGCATTTTATGCTCGATTTGACGAATACATGTACTGTGTAAATTATAGAATTATTTGGACTTTTTCCTTGGTAAGCCCAATATGAAGGAGTGTGCATTTAGAGGCAAACACCTTAGTGCGGGTATTACTGTCTCATGACAGCATCTAGTTTTTTTTTTTTTTTTTTTTTGCCTATGCCTGTTATCAAAAGTAGACCTACACAACTGCTACACCACACTTGCTTGTTAACGATTGATTATCTGCTCCAGGTAATCCAATAAGCTAAATAACAAAACGAAACTACAACATCTTCAACATTAGAATATCTTCATTTTTTTTAATTTAACATTTTCACTTTCAGGTCCCTGGTGTCATCAATGTTCTATTTTAAAAGGTTATCATCTACACAAGGAGCTGTAACTTTGACGGGTTTTCTGACCTGGTAAGCATCCAGATTGGTATTATTCTACTTTAGTTTTATCCTCTTTCAAAATTTTTTAGTATATGTGTATATCTATGTACATTCAGTTGCTTGATTATCTGGTGCACGGTCATTCAGTACAAAATGATTAAGCTTCAACACTACCTTGGTCAACTGGAACGAGAAATGTCATCTCATTTGCAATTCAAAGAAATAAAGAATTGGCAAAATTTTCATGGAAAGTCTTTGAGCAATTTAGAAACAGAATTAAAAAGTCTGAAACTATCTACAAAAAACTTGGAGCATTCTGTTGAAGAACAAAGGAGACAAACAAAGACAACAAAAGAAAAGCAGCTTCAATTGCGCGAAGACCTGACAAAATGTTCCGAAGATTTGCTCAACCTACATGCAGTGTATGCGAAACATTTCACTTACCCACAAGCATTCGTCGATAAGGCAAAGGACGAATTAAAACTTCACTTTGAAGTTGAAAGAGGAAACATTTTCGAGAGACTTTATGAAGAAAAGTTGCACAACTTACATGAAATGCTTGAGATTCACTTGACTAAATATGGCTCTTCTAAAGAAGTTAAATGTAATTCATCTAACAAACTTTCATCAGAGACACGTTTGACAAAAAAAGTACTGGTACAAATTATAAATGATTTAAAGAGATCTATAAAGCAGTGGATAATGACGTCAAAAAGTACCTTGTATTTTTTACGAGGACTCATACATCATCAGGACTCGGAAATAGTAAATTTTAGAATGTGGACTGTGAGACACATCCATCTAAAGTTAAAACATACTGAAGAGTTCATAGAAGCATTAAATGTGCAATTGAGAAGTAATAAACAAGAAATAATGGTTTTGAATGAATCAATCAATGCAATGAAAAGCCTGTGTTTCTCTTACCCAAGTCTTGCATACATGTATGGACGTACATGTACAATGAAAAGAAAATGCAAAAAAGAAATGAGAAGAAAGGAAAACTTAGAACTTATAAACGGTAATACATATTTCAAGTACTTTTCTGAAAATATTGAATACATTATAACTTTTTTAATGTTAAGATTCCTTTATTTTACGTGTAGATGGTTATTCGGGCCTTTGGAATATACTACTCATCACTATCCTACTACTACCGATAATTTGGATTTATTTTCCTTGGGCCAGTTGGTCAAACAGTAGTTTTGAAGACATTAGGAAATGGATGAAAAAAAGTTTTAAATTTTGTAATGAAATGGGGCCCGGACCTACTAAACCTGTATATAAGGTACTAAAAATCTACAAAATGCAGTCAAAAGATTTTAAAAGTTTAAAATAAGTTTCCTATTGAAATGTTCATTTGGTTTTATATATTTTAGGAGAAACTTGAAAACTCTCTGTGTGTTATAAGTTTTGGATGTGGAACTGACAAACAGAAATATGTGCAGTTGGCCTCTGATTTAATAGGCCCCGTGTGTCATCTACAAATGAAGAACGTAGTGGTCAATTCTATAGAAAACCTGGACACCATACCTCCTTCAAAGGTTGAAATTTGTTTATGAATTCATATACACCTACAATAGTACCGATCAAAATGTGTACTAATTTCCACAATTGTTCGTACTCTTTCGAAAAAATGGTGTATAAATTCATCTTTTAAAATGAAGTTGAATTTATTTAGGTGATACTTATGTTTGTGGATTACAACGAAAGGAATTTAATCATAGAAGAAGAACATGGAGGTTTGAAAAGAGAGACTCTATCGATGTTGCAAAGAACTGGTGGTATGGAATTTTTAATCATGAAATTATATATAACTGAAACATTAAGATCTTTTTTAATGACATAAATACATGATTCTTTTCAGCTGAAGTGATTGTCATTTACTGCTATGAGCTTTCTTCCAAACATCTTGACGGAGGACGTCTTTTTGCTCAGAAGTTGACTGTAGTTGAAAGAATTAAGGAACTCAGAGAACTGCGTGAAAGGAACTCAATATTTAGTATCTACGATAAATTCAACCCAACACAGAAGGAAGTCTTCCGCTCTAAGCTGAATTATTTTAATTAGTTATTTCATACTTACGTATACTTACAGTATATGATTTATTAAAAATTAGCTACATTTATCAAAATATAATTTTTTGTTAGAAATAAACGTATTTTAAAAACTTCCAAGGCATTGTGTGGTGTTTTAAGTAACTAAATATGAAGCTGAAAACTTGCCTATCCCATTAGTTTATACGAGTACATCCATGATTCTACATGTACGTATCAAAACGTGCATAGAAATTAAAAAAAAAAATTCAGGTAATCTTCAATATATTTTCAAAAACTTATTACACATCTACAGGGCACCGCCGATAATAATTTCTGTTGTATTTATTATGAAATCCATAAACTTTGTGTTCACGTAAAGTGATATGTATTGAAAATATCAATCAATTTTTGAACAGCAAACATCAATACATGCACATTTGTCTTTAAGTTAAACGCAATGTACTTGTTGATCTAGTCGTAGCATACAAGATATACATATTTATTATTTCATTCTCAATATACTATTTAACATACAGTATTCATATTTTGTGTGCAATAAAAGTCATTACTTGTATCCAGTTTCTATCTCCGATTCTTGATGTTACGAATGTAGATACATGTTGGATGAAATGGAAAGGAAGAAACTGAGACAAATTTTCCTTTCGTCATCTTAAGGCAGACGCCACGTTCCTCAAATATTTGCTTTTTGTCTCTTTGTAATTTACCAAAGATATTTATAATTATTGTTAACTTGCTATTTCTAAACTGCTTTTAAAATATCTTTTAAAAATAAAGACTAAAAAATTGTGATATGAGCAATTCAAATCTTTCCCACAAGGATTATATAGGAAACTCCATCCTCCGTTCCTTCCACAAATGCCTGGTAAGGTGCCTTGAGGAAACTTGTTAAAGGAGAAATACTTCAATGACAAATTATTAGGAAAAATTATATATATTTGAGGAACGTGTCGTCTGACCTTAATGTGCCAGATACGTTTGACAAGCAAAGTATCAAAAAGCAATATTTATAAAAAGAAGAATGCAAGCAAACTGTCTTGGAAAGGTCTTTTAAGTAACGATGCTTATACATACTTTGCTGTATGTATTTTGTTTTTCAAAGGACTCTTGCAATGCTATGCCTGATGATTCGGTATATTTACATGGTATTCTGTTCAATGTATATATGCAAAAACTACAGTTTTTGGCCAAAGATGTATTGACAATATAAAATACTCCTCCTAAAGTTAAGTCCTGTGGAATTAATTCTGTTACATATTTTTGTTTGTTTATTCCAGGAATAAGACTAAATTTAATACATAAACTGTAGGAATATTAGGATTTATTTTTGCTATCTAAATAAGAAACTACATTCCAGTTACCAGGATAAACAGTACAAATTTTAAAAAAATACTCAGAGAAACTAGTGACTATATACCTTCAACTACATATTCTAAAAAGTTAGCCATAGATCTAGTTAAAATTAAAGACATATGTTTTTTTTAATTAATAAACTGTCATAAAAGAAGAATATATCATATTGATTTTGAATTAAATCATAGCTTCTAATTGTCTAGTATTTTTAGCATCTAAAGTTGATTGACACATTGATTTCGATTAAAAGAAGTGAAATTAATTAGAAGACGTCAACGATATTTTTTTAAATTTATTACTACTATATGGTTTCTCCAATAAAAAAAATCGCTTGTCATAGCTAAAACAGATCATTGTATTCATTTAAATTGATGACTTAAGTTGTAATGAATTACTGTAATTTTCATTGAATACAATTTTAAAAAATTACATTTTATTCTGTATAATGAGAACTTTTAAATATCTCATGATTTTAAACATCTATTAGAGGGTTGCGTTCTCATTGACAGCAAAAAAGTGCGCAAAATCGGAAATTCTTAATTATGGCAATGTAAAGGAATATCAACATATGTGCGTTTCTACAGAGAAGTTCATTAATTATCATAGTGACTTGGAATTTCCTCGTCAAGGCATTTCGCAATTTTTGCCATCAATCAGATCAGAGAAATCAAGCCAACTCTGCTTCTCCTTATCACTCTATTTAATCGTTTAATATTTCTTTTGTTTATTTTTGCTATGAATTTAAAATACAACACGACATATCTATGTAAGAATGAAAATGTCTTTGATTAATTACAGTAAATGATGAAAAAATATGATTTACAAACAAGGTGGAAATCAGGAAATTCCAAACATTTTGAGCACATAGATATATACAAGATATAAACACATAGATTCTTATTTCCCCCAAAGATTGTAGGTCACAAACTTTTATAAAAATGACATACCGTTTACAAAAAGCAAAAAAGAGCAACAAACGTGGCCAATTAGCCCGTTTTTATTTATTTATTTATTTATTTTTTATTTTATTTTTTTTTTTTTTTTTACGAAAGATGAAATTGAACTGTGTATAATTTAATAATGTTTTCATAATTTTTAACATTTCCAATTTCTTGTTTTCTATTTTTTTCTTTTTTGAGATATATATATATATATATATATATATATATATATATATATATATATATATATATATATATATATATATATATATATATATATATATATATATATATATATATATATATATTTAGATATTATTGGAATGAACGATGGAAATATGGTACCCTGAACCATTTTTAACATTGACTATATGGGAAAATGTTGGAGGGATATGTTGCTTAACCTTCTAGTGTACCACAACCATACTTTGAGATTTATTACTTAGATGTATAGAAACATTATAATGGAATATGGTTGTGCACTTGCAAATTAAGAGCCATTCTCTGTAATGACTTGAACTTTTATATAGGAGCTGTGGCACGCATAGTCTCAGAATTTCTCCAAACGCTCTATGATAAAAGTCTTTGATACCGTAAACTCAAATCAGGCAAAGATTGGTTGCTACATATCATGGTTACCATAGCAACATGTCCTAAAGTTTAAAAAATGGCATTTTTCAACACGTTCAGAGTCCCACAGTTAACGTTTGCAGCAAAGCAAACAAGTGGTAATGACTGTTTCTGAAAGTTGAAGGCCTGGTGTCTTAAATGCATGATAAACATGTTTGGTAAATCATCTATTACATACGTTACTATGGAAACAAAGTATTCAAAAGTAATAATTTTGTTCATTTAATTTTATAAAGTCATACACTTAAGAATAAAATCAATTATAGGTTGAAATGCAAGCAAATAATAAAAAAAGAGATCCAAATAACATATACCTAGGACGAAATATGACATTTCTTATAGGTTGGCAATGGTTGTCATGGTTTTAATACCACAAAAGAATTTTAAATTTACTCTCTTAGTGTTTTAATCTTATCCTATCTTTTTAAAAAGCATATCTCTATGTAACTGATGATCAGTTTTTAAAGGCGTTGGTGTGACCCTAATTTTCACATTTCAAAAAATTCAAATTCAATTATTTAAATAAAGCGTTGCTATGGAAATTAACCGAGAAAATATACATAAAAACCTGAAAAATATTCTGTTTCCTTGGATACGTACCCTTGCATGTAGATTCCCAAAACTTTTATGATTGATATATATGAACAACTAACCTTACTTTCAATTTTGACTACCATCCAATCTCTAACTGGATGCAAAAAGCTTGCACATAGGATTTAATATTGATATAAAATTAACAAAATCGAACATTTTCCCTTCTTGGTACTCCATAGCAACAGTTCTGTATTTTTCAACAAATTTAATCAATATATGATATTCAACTTTAGTTCTACCAGATAAGTACTATTCAAGGTGAGTAAAATAAATGTTTCTTGATTAAAAGGTAAGTAAATTCCTAAAACAGCAAAAGATATCACTTTAAACAACTGGTACGTTGTTTCCATGGTTACACTGTGAAGTAACAGTTAATCCCAATTTTTCTTATGTTGTTGGTGTTGCAAGGTCCTAAGGATGTATATGTGCAAGTCATGAATTTTATTGCTTTTCCTCAAGATAGTAGCATTAACCCAATCTTAGCAACAGATTTTGCATGGTTACACTGTGTTACCATGGCAACCATGAAAGTTATTTTTAGAATAATATTGCCAACACCTAATTACTTAAGGTCAAATAGTTTTATTGTTTTTCTTTGGTTGTTGATTGAGTTTGATCATGTAACATCTATAATTAGTGAATACTGAGCGTTTTTCAGCATTTTTCAGCATCTAAAATGTATTCCAAATGTATCTATGGTTACCACTTACTAAGAGAAAAATTCTAAATAGTTTCTTTATAGCATAAGTGGCAACAAGGTGCCATGTTTTTGTGAGAATGGTTTGTTTGTTTTTCTTAGTCTTTATTAAGGCTTAATAAAGATTCAAAGTAGCGGAAAATCTCTATTTTTTCGACTTTTCTGGCTGTTACCATGGCAACCAAGACACATAGCAACGAAATTTTATTTGATATATGTTTCTGGTGTCAAGTTGTAATAATGTGCAAAGTTTCATCAAAATCGGTGACCATGCGTGGCAAAGAAGTTTAAGTGGTTACAGAGAATCGCTATTAATAAGTTTGTTAATTTTGCAGTTATGATGAGTTGGGGTTAATTCATAGAAACATTTTAAGTGACCAATACACATTCATATTTAAGTCTACTAAAATAAACAGATTAGTTAAATGAGCGTACTAATGTCAAACAAGAAAGTTGAAATCATTTTTATTATTACATGCCTTTGTGTCTGTCTGTGAGAAAACCAAAACTTTGACACCAGATACGGGAGTTGCAAAAAAATAATTCTGACACTTCCCAAATTTCATTTAAGAGTAGTTGGTGGGGGGATCTATTGAAAACTATGTGTTTTTATGGAGAGTTGGTATATACGAGGGCCGTTCATTAAATTATGCAAAAGGTCATCTTAAAATAAGGAAAGTACGTAAAACAGATTATTAATATTTTCAATCCCTCAAAGTATCCCTGTCCAACCTTTACACATGTTTTAACTCTTTGTAACCATGACCAGAAAATCTCAGCAAGAGAATGTAGATAAAAGGAATCGAAATTACTCATTTTTCTTTAAATATGTGCG